ATCTCTGCATCAAAAGAAACTATCCTTTGCACTGAATTTACTCTTACTGAACTAGTTACACAAATCGTAACGGACAAAGTCTGCTAGCTCCTCAAACATAGTAGTCTTGGCTACTGCATACTTGTTGCAGTTGTTTCAGGAAATATGTTTAAGATAGAGATGGAGTTGTCTGCAGGAGGGAAAGGAGGGTAAACTGTATGTGATAGGTTTTTGAATTCATAGTACAATTATTGCTACATTTTTTTGAAGTGACTTCCAATCAGAAATAATTCTTAATCTATATGAATTCAGGCATTTTGTCCCTAGGGTGGTTCCAACCCACCAAATGAGTTGGTTTTCTTTTTTCTTTCTTTCTTTTTTTTAATTGACCATGAACTTACATTTCCTAAGAGTCAAATAAGAGCCTGGTTTGTGCAGCCTGTATTCAAGTGACAGCTTAGGAGTTGATGTAGCCTCAGTACTTAAGCTCCCTAAATATGGCAGGAACATTGATTCAGTGACATCTCTTATGATTTTTTTAATTTAATTTTTCTCACAGTTCTTTGACATTTAAAACTTTCCATAAATCATTATTAGATTTACCATTTCTAGTGCTTATTTAAAAGGCACCTTTGCTGCAGAAGCAAATCAATATTTACAGTGCATTAGTGCCACAGAGAATTTGAAGCCTTGTGATTAGAGTTCGTTGCTGTTTTATCCACTCTTCAAAGAAACCACAGACATCAAAAGCTATCAGCAGTCATACTGGAATCAGTGACATTGCATTGGTCCCATGCGCACTTCATCTAGTGGTTTAATTATTGAAGCTCTTTTTCTTTGATTTTTTTTTTCTTTTAAGAATTCAGAGTATATCCTTTTGAAATCTATAAATTAAGTAAACCAGAAATTATAACCAACAATATTTAAATATAAAAGTCTATTGAATACATTCTCTTATGACTGAATCAAAACTGAGTTGGTGAAGTTTTTGAAATGCCACTATGAGAAAGGAGTACAAGGGGATACTTATTATTTGTGATTATTATAGTACAAACATAATCTATTGGATTAGTAGTGTTGAAATATAGTGCATTAATAAGAATTGTGTGCAAAAGCTATTTTTGTGTGCCAGCCACATTCCAGCAATACAAGAATAGTATCATATATTAATACTTACCTTTCGATGCAACTTGGAAATGTCTTCAATATGTGCTTAACCAGTAGTTTTCCATAATTCATTGTATTGGTGAAGTTTGGATATGTGGGCTGGATCTTGTGCTGGTGTATGCCCATGTTTGTGGTAGATGAAATTATGAAGTCTTTTTTTCACTTTTTCTGACTGTACAAATTATTATTTTTGTGTTCTGATGCATTTACAGATGTGTATAGGCTGACATATGTTTATAAATTTAAAATGAATTTTGTGGATTTAAAACTCATTTGAGAATTGATTTATATACACACCTGATATCATTAATACTTTTACTTTTTTTTACTATTTGGATGCTTATCTTGCTGGGGTAGTCTGACCACAGCTGACTTCCTGCCCCTTGGGCAGGGGGCTGGACTCAAAGGTCTTGCGAGGTTCTTTCCAGCCCTAAAGTCTATGAAATCTGTGATTCCCTGGTTAGGCAGTTGGCTTTCTTTATTTTGAAAAGTCACCCCTATTTAACGAAGTATGATCTGTCACGTGTTCAGGTGCAAAAATAAAATAAAATAATGAAGTGGCAATTGTTAAGTCTTTCTGAAAGTATTACGTGATTTGAATTTCATCTTCTTTCTATGTGTGCAATCCAGCTTCATCCCTGTTTATAAAAGTTCATTGGTCAATCCACCATGATGTAATTTGGGGTAGAAGATAAAGATAAGAGACATTATGCTAGCAATATCTTAGACTCCGATATTTCTTAAAGTGAATAGTATTTATATGGCTGGAAACTATCACCATGTATATATAGTGGGGCTAGATACTGATGAATAGTTGAAGCACACTTGGTAAGTGTCTTCTGGTAACTGCTGCTTGGAACAGAAATATCTTTTCTTAAGTGGCACCCCTCCATACTACAGGCCAGGCTGATCTAATAAATGAGAGCTGCTGTTAAGAGTTAGGACAAGAACTGATATTCTTCTGTTAATGTGGTCACTTCATTATGCTTTGTGATGCTGTTGCCTGTGGCTGCAGCTGTGTCATCTTTTTTATACAGACCTCTTGGGATCTGATAGTGTGTTTCTTTTATTATGCTTACTATCTAGAGGAAATTTGATGCTTTACTTCATCTGCTTACTGAAGATGAAGTTTTTCAAAGACAGTATAGTTTAGAAAATTAACAAAAACCTGAAATAAGTCATGGGGGCATATATATATTGTGTATACAGAAATTAGTCAATATTAGTAAGGTAAATTCAAGGCAGACAGGTTTTTCTTTAGAATTAATGAACACTTGAAATATACTTCTAATTACTTTTCTTCTGCTTCATTTTTATTAAATACTGTACATCATGAAGAAGCATTCATATCTTTATGGAAGTATAACAGTTGTGAATATTTTGGAGTGTAGTAAAGTTTTAAGTGTGTTAAAAGAAAAAAATGTGATCGTGAAAAAGTATATATTGATTTCAATTTATTTTTTTTGCTGTGTTCCCCAGTAGGATGCTTTTAGAAGATATTATTGCTGCATTGTTTTGGGTACTGCTGAATGCTGCTACTTTTTTCTTTTCTTTTCTTTTCTTTTCTTTTCTTTTCTTTTCCTTTATAAAGACAAGAAGTCATGTTGCTAAATACATATTCATTATAAACTATTCCAATATTGTAAATGTCAGGCATGACCTGTATCTGTCTGTGCATTTCTGTGACACGATGGAGTTTAGATAATCAACTCGTTGAACCTACGCTGTTGAGTTTTTTGCTGAATATGAAGGACACACGCTCTCAATGTCTATACACAATTGTTAATGGTGCTAATCTTTTTTTATAACAACAAATAATCTCCTTGGTGTGGACCAAATGTAAACTAATTTTTCCAAGGTCTGCAAAGCTCATAGTTTTGAGTGAGTTTGCTTTTTCACGAGTTGTAAGGGTTCTGAATAACAAAAGTAAAGTAGCAGAAAGAATTAGTATCCATTCCATTCTGCTGTTCAGTAGGAAAGGGATGAATGGCAACAGAAGTAGGTACTACTATCTGGGGAGAAGGGGAAGGAAGGTACAACAGATCTTTCAGTCTCCCTGTAGTTCTAATAAGCTGGAACTGGTGGAAGAGAGTGATGTCGAAGGAGGGACCTTGTTTGAGGCTTATCAACTGGAGGCTTATGTGAGAAGTGGTGCCAGCATCCTAATAAAAATCCCAGTGCTCTCCTTTTCCTAGCAGATGAGAAAAGGGTACTTGGTTCAACAAGGCACTGCTCCTAAACACCATGCTCCTACCTTGTTGTTATGTACCGGCGTCAGGCTGTAAGGTTTAGTCTGGTGATTCATACAACTTCTATTTATTCTTTCAGGTACCTAGGGTTACTGTATTTCCAGTTCCAAAAAAGAGGACACCTTTTGGGGGCAGGGGAGTATTTGATGGTTGGGGGGTGGGGGAGAGAGGGAGCAGTTTCTAACTGTTACGTTAAATAACAAGTGGTTGTTGCCTCAGAAATTTAAAAGTAAAAAAAAATAATAAAACCACAGCCCTTCTAGCCCTGTCAGTGCCACTAACTCCCTGCCCACAGTCCCCCATCCCCCTGAGCCTTGCTGGTGCCCCTCACTTCGAACTTGCAGGCCCCAGTCCCTGCTGCTGCCCTTCACTCTTGACCTGCAGACCCTCAGCCCTGCCGGTGCCCCTCACTCCCAACCCACAGCCCCCCCAGCCTGGCTGCCCCTCCCACGCCTGATCCACAGCCCCCTGCTCCCCCAGCTGCCTCTGTCCTGACCAGGCTGGAGCTCAGCAGCTGCAGTGGCTCTGGCTCATGTGGGCAGCAGTGCGGCGAGTCTGGCCTCAGTGGGGGCTGGAAGGAGGAGGAGGAAAAGCCTGTGGCACCCACCACCCCATGCTGGGGTTCTTGTGCCATACCAGGTGGCCTGACCACAGCCGGGCAGCATATCCCTGCTTCCCCTCTCCTATGAGCATGGGCGCTGGCTCTGTTGCCACCGGTCCAGCCATGCAGCTTCCTGCTGTCTCTGAAGGGCACTACTACCCTCTTCCCTGCTGGATGGGCAAAACCCTCCTCTTTGCTCCTCCTACCATGCCACAGCCCCAGTGCCCAGTCACTTTTTCCCAGTACCAGGAGGCACACCCCACCATACACCACTGACACGCATGCATGCACCCACACATGCACACTCACACGTGTACACACTCCTCAGGCCCTGGCCCTCCCACCCCCACTTCCCATAGGCATACCTGCATCCAACGGCTGGGGCTGCTCCCACCGCACTGCCTGGAAGGAGAAGCCTGCAGTTTCTTCCTTTAAAGAGGAAAATTTCCATTTTTCTGCAGCAAATGGAAAATCTGGATTCCTGGTCAACACACGTGCTGCTAGGAGAGTCCAGGAAATGCAGTTGTACCAGCATCAATGTTGAAAAAGGACTAGCAGGGCAGAATCTCAGACACTTGTTCATATTTAAAAAAAACACACTGATGGAGATCAGAAGATCCCAAAAGAGGACATTTTCACAAAAACCTGGATGTATGGTAACCCTAAGGGACCTGAAAACGACAGCTCTTAGATGGTTTAATCATGTAAACCAATGTGTATTAAGAATACTTTATTTCAGTTTAGAAAACCAAAAAGTGACTTCATATAATTCATTCATTGGACCAGTTCAGTTTAAGGCTTCCCCCAGATTCCTCTAAGTAGTGATGAATTGATTATGGTATTTGGAAAACAGGCACCTGTGCACTAGGAGTTTGGCTGGGGTCACCAGCTAGCCATTCTGTCGACCTTGTCTTGGTTGCAACTAGCTTTTCATACCTTTTGAAGTGTATTTTTGTGTGAGGAACCTACAGAATGCTTATCTCTGGTCTTTGTTATTATTTCAGATATGCCTCTCCATGTGCGGCGTAGCAGTGATCCTGCACTGGTTGGTCTTTCAACCTCTGTGTGTGATACAAAGTTTCCTGCAGAAGAGCCATCACGAAAAAATCCTACAAGATGGTCCACAACAGCAGGCTTCCTCAAACAGAATGCCCCTGGGGGACTACCCACTAGTCATGAGAGAAAGGTAAATCTTTGTTTGTTCCTCTCTGGAAGGCTATGTCTTATGTGAGCTCTACATTTTTGTTCTAGTGCCACATTTAATTTTTCACCTGTTTCCACTTTTACATGCTTTTTGTTCATTAGTTATGGAATGCCAACAGTCATCGCATCTGTACAGTGTGCCCCAAATGCATTCACACATTTCTTCTGATCACTAGTGGATCCCATGTTTATGGTGCCTGATTTTCATTTCAGATGCCCTGCTCCATAATGGTTTTATAGGAGTGTTGATCACTGCAAGCATATCTATAGTTGTTGTTTTTTTCCTCCAGTACCAAGCAAGTATTTTCAGTAATCATTTTCAGAACTACCAGTTGAGTGGTTCAAAACAAAAATTGCAAATGCTCTGTTTCTTGCATAACTTCATTAAATCGGAAACAGTGTGTTTTCCCCTTCGTTATCAGCTAGAATTGTATATCTTCTCTACGTGAGCTACACTGTAACTAAAGGAATCAGCATGACTCCTGTATTTATTTTACTGAACAAAGATATTGAAAGAGTTGTATTTTATTGTGTATCACCCCATTTCTTCTTGCAACAATGAAAAGAATTTAAAGAAAAAATAAGTTGGATCTTGCCTAAATTAAAATTTTCTAATAGAAATGATTTATCTAATTACTTTATTGTATTTTGATTTAATATTGTGTGCTGCACAGAATTGTGCAAGGATTAAAAAAGGGCAGTTCGATATTTTAGATTTGTTTTTTGCCTCTCAGGTATGGTTCTTTGGTTAATCTTAGCACCACATTTCAAATTCTGTTTCTCAAAAGGTATGCAGAGTTAGAGCTATACACTGAGATAAAGGTTTATACTGTATTCCAGTGAACATTCATCTCTTTGTTGTTCTTGTGCCTATTTAAAAAAAGAACTCCTACTTTGAGAGAAGATCTGCAATAAAGTATCACAAGTGAGAATATGTATGTAGAACCACACTTTTAAATAAACTTGTCTGGCTCTGGCTGTGCAGTGAAAACATGTAGAAGTACACTTGATCAAATTAAGTCTAATAGTGAAATGTTTAATTGCTAATTTCTGATCCTGTGCTTTATTGTGCTAATGTTATTCAATTTTATTGGCAATGCAATTGAAAAAAGACTTAATATTCTAACATTAAGAAAAAGAAAACAGATTAGGTTTATCTGTGCAAAATGGTAACATTTTAGTGAAGATATATGAAACCATAAGGAGGTTACACTTCATTAGTCTAGGAACATGGATATTATAATAAGGGCCATACATTGCATAAACAGCCTTCTTTGAGTATCTCAAGCCACTACCTGGAGAGAATTAAACATCAGCTATGCTTTCACTTCAGCCTCCTTGCATCATTAGCTGTTCAGCATGTACTTACTCTTGATTTTTCATGAAAATATTTGAAGTGCACTGGAGCATGGCATCCCTGGGAATGAGCATGGTGACCAGGATGGAAAGGAATTCAATTGATCTAGTGTAGTGGTGGGAAGCTGGGCACAAGAGACCATTAAATCAAGAAGATGGGAGAGAATTAATGTAAGTTAGTACAACAAATATTGATAATGTATCACTTAAAATTTATTTTGCTACATACTACACGCGTTAATTTTTTCAGTGATCATTGGGAGCAGGAGTTTCTAGTGGGTAAGATTCTGCAAACAATAGGAAGTAAACAACACAGTCAACTATACATGTAAAGTATATATTTTATGTATTGACCTTATTCAGAGTACTGTGTTAAATAGTTTGTTTATATATTGTTTATTGATTTTTTTTTTTTTCCTGTTAGTTCAAAAAGGTTATAGTAAAAGATTTTGCTGAAAAATGTCACGTGTATCTTTAGGGGTGTAGGTTGTAGTCGTGTTGGTCTAAGGACATAGGCAGACAAGGTTCTTTGCGTGAATCTGGTATCTTTTATTAGACCAACTTAAATAGTTGGAAAACAATTATTAAACAAGCGTTTAGGTTCAAAAACCCTTTGTCAGGCCAAGGAAGTTTCAGCAGTTGGTGTGTGCTCTTCCTGCATGGAATGAAAAGTAAAGAAGCCAGAGGCTGGACTGGGCTACATACAAGATGGGTAGTCAGT